TTTTTATTGTAGAGATGAACTACTTGGTTCAAGCAGTTTTTTCACCTTGGCGTTCCAAAGTGCTGGGATTACAGGCTAGATTTTTTTTCTATTTCTATAAAAAATAATGTTAGGATTTTCTTTTCTTTTTTTTTTTAAACTTAGGTTGGTGCAAGAGTAAATGTTGGGATTTTCTTTTCTTTTCTTTTCTTTTCTTGCTTTACCAAAAAAGTCAGCAAAGGGGAGAGGTTGGGATTTTCATAGGGATTGCACTGAATCTGCAGGTCGCATTGGGTACTATAGATTTTAACACCTACCTGGTCAATTTATTTCTAATTTTTAAAAAAAAATTTTGTGAATGTGATTGTTCCCTTTGTTTCTTTTTTGAATAGTTTGTTATTTCTTTTTTTCTTTTTTTCACAACCCTGGGTTCCAGAAAGTTTGTTGTTAGTGTATAGAAATGTTACTGATATTATTTCTTTCTTTCTTGTAAATATTTAACATATTGACACTAATCAAAAGCAAGGTACTGATTTTTTGTCTGTTGATTTGTATCTTGCAACTTTACTGTATTCACATATGAGGTTTAACAGTTTTTTCCTGAAGTCCATAGGGTTTTCCACGTATGAGATTATGCCATCAGCAAACAGTGGCAATTTCACTTATTTTCCTATTTGGATGCCTTTTATTTCTTTTTCTTGCCTAATTGCTCTAGCAAGGACTTCAATACTATATTGAAGAGAAGTGGGAGAGTAGCTTTTATGGTTTGATATGATTTGTTTGGCTACCAAATCTCATGTCAGAATTTGATTCTCAATGTTAAAGGTGGGGCCTGGTAGGAGGTGTTTGGATAATGGGATAGATCCTTTATGAATAGGTTAGTGTTATCCTTGCAATAATGAGTGAGTTCTCACTCTTTGTTTTCACAAGAGCTAATTTATAAAAAAATTTTGTTTATAAATTCACTTTTTTTTGAGACAGGGTCTCACTCTGTTGCCCAGGCTGGAATGCAGTGGCACAATCATAACTCACTGTAGGCTTGACCTCCTGAGCCGAAGCAATCCTCCCACCTCAGTCTCCCAGGTAGTTTGGACCATAGGCGCACACCACCATGACTGGTTAATTTTTTTTTTCTTCTTCTTTTAAAAAAATTTTTTTTTTCTTTCATACCCAATTCCTGCAGAGACTGGTTAATTTTTAAATTTTTTTTCTAGAGATTGAGTCTCACTTCTTTTTTTTTTCTTTTTTTGAGATGGAGTCTTGCCCTGTTGCCCAGGCTGGAGTGCAATGGCACAATCTTGGCTTGCTACAGCCTCTGCCTCGCAGATTCAAGTGATTCTCCTGCCTCAGCCTCCTGGGTAGCTGGGATTATAGGCGTGCACCACAATGCCCAGCTAATTTTTGTATCTTTAATAGAGATAGGGTTTCACCATGTTGGTCAGGCTGGTCTCCAACTCCTGACCTTGTGATCCACCCACCTCCACCTCTCAA